ATCTCTGATGTAATGGCAAATAAGAGTTTGCCACTATATGAGCAAGCTGTGGGAGACCTTCCATCTCCCTACCTCTTTTTTATCTTGATCATAGCCACTTAACCAAAGCCTTATATTAAAAACACAAACATTTTCCTGTTCGATGTGAAATTCCAAACAAGGATCAAGCTGGTTTTGAAATACAGGTTTGCAGGTAAGAGTGCAAACATCAGTTTAGGGGTTGGATATAAAAGGACACTATGATTTACTGTAAAAGTCTTTGATTAGATTGTTTTTTTGGGGGGTGAGAGCCTGAAGGTCCTCTTTAGTTCATTCACATAGCAACAAACCAAGAGAAGGGAACATCAAAAGAGGGTTTAACGTCTTTCCTGGTTTAATTTATTAATGTCTTTCCTGGTTTACCTTGGCATTAAATTATATTTACATTGTTTTTAACTGCAATATTTGTATGCTGCCCTGGAGGCCCAATTTTAAATCTAACAGAAGGATTAATTTTTTCAAATAATAAAAAAATACTGCATCTAATGTACATTAACAAAATTTATTTTGCAGGAGTTAGGGGACAGAGAAAGCAAGTAAAGAAAAATATATAATTCAAGCAACACAATAATCATTTAAATTTCTAACCAAATTGGTGAAGATGGTTTCAAAAAATTTGCAGGCACCTGATGTCTCAGAAAGTGAGAGCCAGCCAGGTAGGCCTTCTAGTTAGTGTAAACAATCTACTGACTCTCCCCAGTCTTGGATCAACTGATCTTGCATTTAATCCCATCCCCAAACCTACATCTCTCTTTTCTCTACCCCTTCCATATACCTACATTTTCAAGTTAAAAAAATAAGAGAACTAAAGCCAAATGTTGTGAAAATTTAGAAGTTACAGAAAGATACGAGCAGAAGAGCATTAGAAGCCAACATGATACAGATACAACATGAACAAATCAAGCAAGAACAAGGAAATAAAACCACATATGAAAACATAAAAATGTATAAACCTCCTTGAGTAACCACTGTGATTATGGAATTCTTACATGCAGTTCAGTTGTTGTCACATTTTAATTTTTGTTGCTGCCCTGCTTAAGGGATTCCCCAGAGTCCCCTCTAGGACATTATATTCTGTCACTGTATGCACCGCCAGTTCCTGTGTCACTTAAACCAGGCCTTTCATGAATAGCTACAATTTCTGTACTTTGGTGTGTAGACTGCTAGAACTCAAGACAGCTTAAGCTCTGCACTCAGGGCATGGTCACTTACACACAAGTAGTTTGCCCTTGTATGGGTGCCATACGTGGAAGAGAAGTCTGACTGTATGTGGAAAACAACCATACTAGAACCTTACAAAAAGCAGCTGCTAAGACATTCATTAGTAGAGAAAATCAACAGCCATTTTCTATGTATTGATTTACTTTTCTCCCCAATGAGGACCCAAAGTAGCTTACATCATTCCCCTCACCTTCATTTTATCCTCACAACAACCGTGTGAGGAAGGTTAGGCTGCAAATGTGTGACTGGCTCAAGTTACTCAGCTAGCTTCCACGGCAGAGTGGGGATTCCAATCTGAGTCTTCCAGATCTTAGTCTAACACTCCAAACATTACACACTGGTTTGAAAAAATGGAAGCAGATTGTATCGCTTATACAAATATGTCTTCTCAACACGTCTAGATAGGATAATGCACAGCACTAAGAACCAAAAACTGCAGCTAGTAAGCAGTGTTCCCTCTAAGCTGAGTTAGTGTGAGCTAGCTCACAGCTTTTAGCCTCTGACTCACACATTTATTTATTTATTACATTTATACCCCGCCCTCCCAGCCATGGTTGGCTCAGCTCTGTCTTAGCTCAGGAAGAATAGCTCCAGAGCAAACTAATTTATGCAGTAGCCAAATCACTCACTCACAACTTTAATTACAGTAGCTCACAAAGTAGAATTTTTGCTCACAAGACTCCATAGCTTAGAGAGAGCATTGCTAGTAAGTTGTTTTCAGGACAGATCTGGATGGTGTTTAGCAAATAAAATATATTGTGGATAAAAGAAAACAGAGAATAAGTTATCCCCTTCACTGGGAAGGCAAGAGTCTTATTTTTTAGATACCATAACTTAAAAAGCATTCTTTTACCGCTTTTTTCTGAATAATTAAAAAATAATTAAAAACAAGACAATGGTCAGAATACTGCATTTGGCTGTGGGAGATTTGGGTTTAGATTGCTGCTTGGCATAATGCATACTGTATGGCTTTGGACAAGTCACTCTCTCTGTTTAATGTTACCTCATACTGTTTGACAAGGAGACACTGGCAAGATTTACACACAGTGACAAACCAAGGTTTGTTGTTATGAGAAAAAACCTGTGGAATCCTAGGGCTTATGCATTCCTTCTTCCGCACACATGGCTAGAAACCTCGGAAGGTGGAGGGGGGCGTCTTTTTGTCTTCTTCCTGTCCTGGGCCATCTGCAGATGTCTCCTGGAAGGGAAGGGAGATCCCTCTTTCTTCTGTTTTTTCTTTATTTGGTACTTTGTACTGCCTCTGGCTTGGAGCAGGAGCTCCAGACATCCTACCGAGCACAAGGTTATGCAAGAACTGGAGAGGTCACCCTAGGCCCCTCCAATAGGAGCCACACAATAAAGAAATTTGCATAGCCTATCCGAGCGAGCAGAGGCGTGACCTAACCACTTCCTGGATGACTTCCCCCACTGAAGTAGGACAGATAACTTCACAGCAAACCAAACTGTGGTTTCTTCTCTGTCAAAACTTGGATTTCAAACTGGTTCAAAGGGAAAGTGGAAATGTTTAATTTCCTAACCACACCTTAGGGGAGGGGCAAATGCAAGAATTCCACAGGTTTGTTCTCATAACAAAGGTTTATTAGTGTGAATTTTACCACAATGCTCTGAGATGGTAAAAAAGCAAGGAAATATGAAATAAGGCAAACAATGTTAAACATTCAAGAAAAAGCTAATAAAAGATACAAGTATACTATTTGCATTAATACATTTGCAAATTCAAGTAACCTTTCCACAGCTCTGCTATGTATGTTTTAACTGGTAAATTTCCAAACTTCCCATACATTCCAGAATGTATTTGTCCACCTAATATATAGCTTAATGTGAAATCTGACATCCCAGTTCACAATCAAGATGCTTCCTACATTTTGCAGGATATACAGCTTTCAATACAAACAGGAACTGGTTTCCTTTTCTCTCTCATCATTGGTTGTAGTTGTGACACACTGGTACTGGGTAGAACAAAAACATTCCCACCCACCCCACTACAAATAATTATTTAAGAAAACACGCTCACACAGCAAGCTGGATTTTAAAGTATGACCAAGTTACCGTGTAGCCTGTGATATTTAACATTCAACATAATTATCCACACTCAAGTTTTGAAAACTATGCTTTGTGGGACATTTGGTAAGTCTGAACTCTCAAATTCTACTGAAGATCAGAAACAATTTGTTTTGAGAAAATACCAAATGCAAGAGCACACAGTGCTATAAGCTCTTCCAAAGAGCTTGGGTGCATACTTTCAGATTAATTTTTGTTGACCAGCTCTTCGGTGCATGTGACAGAATTAGAGAAAAATTAAAGTAATTGGAGGGTGACATACTGGATTCAGATGACAAACCCAAGTGGAATCAGAAGCTTTTGATCCATAAACAGAGCTAGACGTAAACTGATCAAGGAAAGGAAAATCTCAAAAGCAAAGCCTGCTTCGCTGCTAGCGAGTCTTTGTGCTTTCTTTTTTTAAAAAGAGCTTAATGTCATTACATATGTGCCAAATATATTAGCAAATCACTGGAAAAATCAAGCCCGCCCCCCCAGATCTGCTTCAGAGACTAGCTGTGAGTAAAATCTGTAGCAGCCAAAACGACAAGCATTTCCCTTCTTAAAATCCATCTATGTGTTTTCTTCAATTACATGTTTTGAACCACTGCAGTGTCCTATGATGATACACAGAGTTCTGCAGCACTATGTTACCTCCCCAAAACTCCCAACCAGTGTTCCCTCTAAGCTGAGTTAGTGTGAGCTAGCTCACAGTTTTTTAGCCTCCAGCTCACACATTTTTCTCTTAGCTTAGGAAGGAGGGCTCCAGAGCAAACTAATTCATGCAGGAGCCAAATCGCTCACTCACAGTTTTAATGCCAGTAGCTCACAAAGTAGAATTTTTGCACACAAGACTCCACAGCTTACAGGGAACATTGCTCCCAACCCCTCTTCCAACTGGGACTCCATCTAACAATGGAAAGTGAAGTCTATATTTAATGTCAAAGGAACAGTACCCATTGTATTAATAACAAAATTGTTTCCATGCTGGAGCAAATTGATCACACACATACACACTACATCACAGAAAAATTGTCAATATCTTTCAATCCCTTCCAGTGTTTGTAACAAGTTACGGCACCTCCTTTAAAAGAACTACTCTAGGCTAGAGAATATTTGAGTCAAAGGACAAAATGGGGTTGTTTAGTGTTTAACATAAATAACCCTAAAGGTTCATTATGAAAAAAATTAGGCCACAAGCCTTCAAAAAATATTCCAGAGCCAACCACTTCTCCTAAGGTAGGCACAGACACTTTATATAAACATACAAGATGCAAACTGCAGCTTCACAATCACACCCGAAACCTTCACTTCAACAATGACCTGTGCCCTTTAGTCACCTCCTTGCACACACAGTTCAGCAAGTTAAAAGTGGTGAAAAGGTAGAAATATTTCTAATGTATCTAAAATCTGAACCTTTTGTCCAAAGTTATCTTCCAAAAATACCTTTAAAGCAGCCCCCCATGTTCTGTCAGGTATGATTTGCTTGCCACTGCATACAATGATTCCTAGAGACCACATTTTAACACCAATGCAGTTGAAAGGAAAAACTTCTCACCCAGTGTTCAATAAAAGTTGACACGCCAAGTTCTAACAATGACAGCAAGCTACAAACCCCTGGTATCATTATCCAAATGCCACCAAATGTGTTTTCTCACCAGAGCCCACAGACTTCTCACCTGCATGCCAGGCACCTGCACTGCTACAGGTGAATGGGCCATGGTGGCCTCAATCCCGCCCCCCTTCCTTGGTGTGTGTTCTCTTTCTTCTTCCTCCTCCTGCTGTTGGTGCTGCTTTAGGGGAAAGAACACTGGGAGGGCTTCAGGGAGACCTGCAAGGACAGGGGGGGGGGAGCGGAGAAGAAGAAAAAATGCTGCATCAAACACTTTAACTCAGTGGGGGGGGGATTACAGGAGAAATCCTGCAGCCCCCAACCCTCCGCACATCTGGATCCGTCCTTTACCCTCCTGCCCTTTCCCTCACCCTCTAGGCTTCCTTTCTTAGCCCTCCCCCTCATTTTAGCTTCCATCCACCAGCACAAGCCATTCTTCTACCCACCCAATACAGGTCGACCTCTTTCCTCCCTTACCTCCACCACTCGCCCTACTGGCCGCTTTAGGCTCCCGCCTCGGACACGGACACTTTCCCCCTCATCCCTTCCCACCCCCCATTCTCTCTAACCACTCTGCCCTAGAGAGCCCCCGGTTTCCACAAGCCCCTCTCAGTCCCCACATCCTCTCCCTTCCCCCACGCCACTATCCACTCACACTCCCCCCCCCCCCCAAGGCCCCGCCCGAGGGGTTTTCCCCGGGGGGGGGGGGGGGAAGGGGCGCAGAACC